TTAGGACTTATCATCGCAATTTATCCAATACCGATTAATTTTTATCAAAATTTTTTAATGTTGTAATGGGGGAAGTTATCTAAAAAATGGGAAATTTATTTAAGAACAAACTCCTACGATGCAGAGCTAACCGCCGCTCCGTTAAACAGGTCATACCTACGATCATGTACGTGTATTCGCCTTTACGTCAGATGATTTCGCTTAATTGTCTTTTACCGAATGGCGTTGAACTCACCTTAAGTCACGTGCCTTGTGACACTCGATGAATCTATGTGTGGGCGACTTTACGAATAATCCGCTTAATCCTCTAGATATAATCGGATGAAAATATAAGCTTTTTACAAATTACTTAAGCTAATGGGAAAATTAAATGACGTAATCGGCAAATACAATTAATTAACTTTAATTAATAAAATTAGAGAGGGAGAGAGAGAGAGAGAGAGAGAGAGAGAGAGAGAAAGAGAAAGAGAGAGACATACAAAAAATACGCGAATACAAAAAATCGCTATCACGTTTGACAAAATACCGAATGTATTTTGTGACGCAATAATGACGGGAGGTGCACCTACCCTGTGGTGCAATTACGGTGATCAGCCGTAATTGTTGATGAAATATATCAACTGCCGCTGCCCTCCTCCTTATCAGCTGCGCTGCTTCACTCTGCCTTTAATCTCCTACAATACTGCTTCTGCGCTGCTGCTACTTGCTGCTGCAATACCGTTGTTGCACTCACGCGCGTAATTGTCCCAGAAAACTTTAATATTCGGCGAAAACAAAGTGCAAAACGAAATCGGCGGTAAACTCGCGTAAACAGCTGAGGCGTAACTGTTTATTCAAATGATGGCGCGCCCCCTCTCTATCTTAATTGTTTGTACTATCGCGCGAGAAGCAGAATCGCGAACGGATCGATTAATTGAATCGACTACCGTTGCAATGTTTAATTATAAAAGTGATTTGAAAGTGAAGTGAAAAGTTCCTAAATTGACCTTGATATAACCTTCGTGAGGTAAGGTTGAGAAACTAAGTAATCTCCGTCATCGTGTAAGAAGTAATATTTTTTTAGGACTTAATATCATAAAACATGGACTGCAAGCCCGATCCTTCTTGGCGTTATAAGCTCCCAGAGTACTGCGTTCTCGGGTTTTCGAGCTTGGTCCGATCTATCTTGGCGTTATAAACTCGCAGAGTACTGCGTTCTCGGGCTTTGGAGCTTGGCCCAATCCCTCATGGCGTTATAAACTCTCAGAGTACAGGGCACTTGGGTTTTAGAGCTTGTGTTTCAATCTCTTGAGGGTACTACTATACTGGCGATAACGCCGATCAGTTACCATGTGTTAGCGCGCGTCGATAACTCGATGCGTCGGCTGTTACCACTCGATGGCGGTAGCCCTCTAAGGTACCTTGGGGGACTTGAAGCTCCTAAACTCTAACACAGGCAGAGATAGGCCACTTCGCCTTCTGTATGAGATCTCCATGGTGGAAAGATACAGAAGACGAGAAACTCTTTCCCGAACATGTGTCGTACCGTATTTATTGATATGACGTGTGGAAAGTGCGATTTTCAACGCACGTTTTCTGTCGAGCGTGAGGGAAAGACACACTTTGCGCACAGAGTATCGAAAAAATAAAGATTTTTATTTTGTAAAAAACCTAAAATTTTGATTTAATTCCGTCACCATACCCCTTCGTCCAACACAAAACCATAACGATATTCCGTGATTAAACTTAACACTATTTCTTCACGCGCACTTTGAAGCTTGCTGAAAATGACGTCATTATCAGAAAATGACGTAATTAACTTTCAGAGAGCGAGATTTCAAGGGACATATCGCTCTCAGAAAACTGGTATAAAAGGTATCTTATGTCATTGATTGATCATAGGGCAATTCTTGGCTATTTCAAACAGTTTAAAACATCAAACCACCAATTTTGTTCAAAGTTGGTAGATTTGTTACCTATACAGAGAGGTCAACATCTGTGCAGAATTTTAGATCAAAATATTGATAAAGGGCCGACTTATCAACTGTTGAAAAATATTGGACTTTTTTTTATTAATTCGATTTCTCCGAGACTAATAAAGATATGGACATGATTCTTGTTTTAAAAGACGCGGAAAGAGTTTCACTTTTAAAACGTAAATAGTAAAATACCAAATCATTTATTTATGTCTATGTTATAAACAATTTTTTCAAAAAATTGACGATATCTCAAAAAACGAAATTTATTTTTTTAATTTTTGCACCATCGTGTTCCTTGTAATTTTTTACATAAGAAACCGTTCAGAAAATCAAATGCCCGCTATTAGGATTAAGACAGCACTAAAATGAAACGAACCGCGCGCCAGCCGCTCGGCTGCTCGAACGTCCGCTACTCGTGCGGTTGATTGCTGCAATTGCCTTTAACGAATAAATAATTTCATATTCTATCAGTCTATATGTATTTATTTAAATAATATATAAATTTATTGTTTAAATAAGTAATGTAAATGAACTATTTTTTTATACAATCTGATATAATATTGAAATAAAATATTTGCTCTTTGCGTTTGATCGGGCTTGAGACCGGTGCATATTTACGAAGTGGCCGCATTAAATTGTTTTTTTTATCGCACCTACACCATAATAAGTTACCATAATAGTTATAACTCTTAATAAGTTATTTACAAGTAATTTGTTCTAACCTATTTTCTGCCATATATTTTTGAATATACGTCATTCTCACGCCTGATGAAACGCACCGAGCAAATGTTTCATTCAATGTTGTTTCAGATTATGCAAAACAATAGTTCATTTATATTACTTATATTACTTTACTTATATTACGTTATATTAAGTAAATAAGTCATTAAATTTAATTTAAATTTAATTACTTATTAATTAACTAATTTATATATTATTTAAATAAATAGATATAGACTGATAGAATATGAAATTATTTATTCGTTGAAGGCAATTGCAGCAAGCAACGTTGGAACCACACGATGGTGCAAAAATTAAAAAAATAAATTTCGTTTTTGGAGATATCGTCAATTTTTTGAAAAAATTGTTTATAACAATGACATAAATAAATGATTTGGTATTTTACTATTTACATTTTAAAAGTAAAACCCTTTCCGCGTCTTTTAAAAAAAGAATCATGTCCATATCGTTACTAGTCTCCGAGAAATCGAATTAATAAAAAAAAGTCCAATATTTTTTCAACAGTTGATAAGTCGGCCCTTTATCAATATTTTGATCTAAAATTCTGCACAGATGTTGACCTCTCTGTATAGGTAACAAATCTACCAACTTTGAACAAAATTGGTGATTTGATGTTTTAAACTGTTTGAAATAGCCAAGAATTGCCCCATAGAGAAAGTGTCGATCACGGGTAGCGTGAGTATGTATATTGATTCTCCGGCCCGCTAAAGGTTAAAAGTCGTCTGTCAATGACGTCTTTTAATTACGTCACTGTTTTCAATAGGGAACAAACTCTAATTGTTACAGATTTAATTAAATGTTACCTTTATTCATTACTTATTTAAATCCATAAAAATCTATTAAATATGTTATATAATTCATTTATTTATTATTTATTAAAATTCTTTAAAAATTATTTGATTAAATACAATTCATCGATAATTTTCTGACAAATTTATTAGAATTTATAAAATATAATTCAATAAAATATTATTCAATTACTTTTTATTCATAGCCTTATTAAAAATTACTTATTACGATTGAAAAGAATGGTAGTTTTTTATTGTTCAATCTTATTATCATTGAATTCTGTTGAAATAGATATATTCTGTAATTGTTACTCAATCATTGATTCATTTAGTTTCTTGAATTATTAATTGGTATTCAAGTTAAATGATTTTGAAGAGTATATATATTTGGGTCCCATAAAAACTTTTTACTGATCATTTTTATATTCATAATTTATTTATCATAAGTTCTATAAGTAATTTAGTTTTGTCTAAAAATAATGACAGTGCTTTTTATGTTTTCATATTTATATAAAATATGAAAACATAAAAAACATAAAACAGTTTAACATTAAGAAGAATGCATTTTTATTAACATTTATAATCAGTATTTATATATATTACGATTAATATTTGAAAAACTATAAAACACTTTAAACATTGATTAAAATTTGTTTGAATATTATTTTTGTCTGCCATTTGTAGATGAGTTAACACTGTTGATTAATCTCTATAAGCAATAGAGAAGCAACAATAAACCATATTAATATAATATCAATAAAGTCTTATATTAAACTTAAAAACAATAATAATAGGCTTTAATAAGGTTTACTACTTTAAAGCACACATCAATCACATGCAATCATGATAACCCACCAATTATAATTCAATTTGAAACATTAGCTTTATTCTTTTTATTTTATTTCATTCTAAAACTCTCATGAATTGAAATCAATCTTCATTTAAAAAATTTAAATTATTATTAAAAACTATTTTATTATATATTAGAAATGTTGATATGCGTATACATTATGAATAATTAACTTGAATTGACAATATAAATTGTTATATAAACTTTTAAAACTACAATAATAATTTTTACTAAAAAATTGCTATCTTGTTTTGAAACAATTTCATGACAATTGTAGTATAATAATAAGAGTGGGTTGTATATCTTTCAAGTTATCTATACTAAAATTAATGGAATTTAATTGCATGATTTTCATTCATAACTTAAAATAACTTATACATTAATAAATTCAATTTGCAATTAAATGAAGTTTACAAAATAATTATATAAATATCATTGCCCTTTTCAAATGTACTTTTAATGAATGTATAAGCGTGTGTGTGACAAAGTAATTTTCAATCATATTTAATTTAGTTCAATAGTCAAAAACAGTTTCTAATAAAAGAAGTAATTACAATTATAATTTATAGAAACTGTTTTTAAAATAAAAAGATTATGTTTTCAAGCTTTTAAAATGTATAAGAGTACACTATAGTGCATAATTAAAAAAGAAATTATCATTACGTATAAACAACATTGTTTATTGAAATTAGTTTAAAGAATTAATATAGCATGATAATAATTTTGATTCAACAATAATAGATACAAATTTAAGAACCATTTAAAATCACAAGTAATCAAATCCTTACTTCTTACTGAATTCAAGTCAAGAAGCTAGGTCAAGCTCATAACCATAGAGACTGTATTCTATTCTATTCTATATATATTTATTGGCTCCGGTTTCCCATACGGCCATCAACTGACATGTGGCGCTTGTGCGCCGAGAGAGCGAATTTGGCGGAACTTTTGAAAAAGTGAGTAGAAAAGATCAGAAATTGAATAGAATAAAGTTTAAGCTAGAAAAGAGGAAAAGATTGATAATTAGTTCGTAGTGATAATAGTAGTAATAGTGTTAGTAGTGAAAATTAAGTACATCATAAAAGTATCTCAGCGCTTTTGAGAAATTTGCATAAAATTTCTATATGGGATGGTTTGGGATCTGAAAGGAATTGTGAAATTGTATAAGGCGGGAAGATCTTTGTTTTCATCAGTTTAAAAAGTAACAATTTTCGATGATTGTCAAAGCGTTCGCAGGACCAATAAACATGATTAAGGTCTTCATTGTCCTTGCCACAAGGACATAAGGGAGATTGAACTAAATTTTTTCTATGTAAGCTGTATGCTAGACTGTAGTGGTTGCTTCTCACGCGTACTGTGGTTACAACTTGTGTCCTGCACAAGGTAGTGTTGTTAAACCAGGGTTTGGAAGAATGACTAAAGTAGTTTTGGAAGTATTGGACTCCTTTGTTTACGTCCACTCGTGTTAGGAATTTCTTGAATTTATCTCTACAGAGATTGTTAGTGAATTGGCGTAGGTCCGAATGAGGTATTAAGTTGGATGGACTAATACCTGAACCGCAAGCTTGTTTGGCAAGAATGTCTGCTGTTTCATTGCCAGGAATACCTTTATGACTTGGAATCCAAGCAAAAATTACTTCTTGATGGTTCTGGAGAATTTCTAGAAGTCTTGTTTTTATTCTGAATATTGTAATATGCGTGGAGTCGATAATTGCTTCTTGGTGGGTAAGGCAGAGGAGCGCACTAAGACAGTCCGTGAAAATGATAGATTTGCTAATTTTCTTGAGAATAATTAGTTCTAGTGTAAATTGAATTGCTAAAGCTTCTGCTGAGAAGATGGAATTGTGTGGATCAATTTTAAATTTAAGATTAAGGTCTAAAGGGTCTGGGCCATGGTCTGGGCTATGAATGGCTAAACCAACATACAATCCAGTATCTTTTTTTGATCCGTCTGTATAGAATGGAGTGTGTGATTGTAAAAGATCGCTAAATTGATGAATAAACTCAGTTGGCGGGTTATCAGCTTTGGCAATGGTTTCACCTTTGTCGAGGATAATGGTTGACTCTGTCTGTTGTGCTTCCAAGGAAAAAACGTAGCATGGAGGTATAGGGCTAGAATAAACCTTTTTTTGAAAGCGTTTGAGCTTAGTAAAGGCTTTAAGAAGAGGAAGATTGTGAATATATCGAGGAGAGCTTTTTTTTAACGAGTCTACCAAGTTTGAGATAGCAATAGTCGCTGGATGATTCGTTGTCGAGAATGAGCGTATTATATAGTTGTACGCAAGTTTCTCTTGTCGAAGCTGAAGAGGATAAATTTGCGATTCTGCGTATACAATTCGATTAGGGGTCGTATTTCTTAAACCTAAAGCAAATCTAAGAGCACGTCTTTGTAAAACGTTAATTTTTTCGAAGAAAGAATTTGTATTGCTTGGGATGCAGCATAGACCATAGTCTATAGCTGCCGAGACTATAGATTTGTAAATGAGTAAGAGCGATCTGGGGTGACCTCCCCACCATGTGGTACGTAGAGATCTTATAATGTTTATGCTCGGTGAAATTTTTTTAACTATGTGGTTAAGATGAGTTGACCATGATAGATTCTTATCCAGTGTTAATCCAAGAAACTTGGCGCTGTTAGAGACAGGTATTTGAATAGAGTCAACTGTAACTGAAAGGTTCGAAAAATCAGAATCTTTGTGATTTGTGTGAATTACTATGTTGGTTTTTTCTAGCGATAGAGAAAGACCAATCTTTTGGAGAAATAGGTTTACTCTTTTCAAGTTACGTTCTAGAATTTTAAGAGCAACTTTTGGATCTTTGTGAGTGACAATAAGGGCGATATCATCAGCAAATTGTAGACAGTCGCATCCAATGAGAATATAGATGAGTTGACTAACACTGATGCTATAAAGAGTCGGGCTGGAGACGCAACCCTGTGGGACACCCTTTCTGGTTACAAAAGGGCCAGTAATTTCACCATTTATGTTGAAGTAAATCAGTCTTTCACCTGTTAGGTTGTAATAGAATTTGCAAATTGTTTCTGGAAGACCTAGGTCTTTCAATAAATAAACGAGGGAAGTAGGGTCTACGTCATCAAAAGCACTTTTGACATCGAGATAGGCTACAGTGGTGTAAAGTCCGTTGGTGAATCCTGAATAGATTTTTGTAGTAAGAATCGAGAGGTTGTCAGCACAAGATCTTGATTTGCGGAAACCGAACTGTGACAATGGTAACTTGACGTTGTGTTCAAGCCACCAAGAGAGTCTAACTTGAATCATCTTTTCGGATAGTTTAAACGTTGCAGATGCGAGTGAGATTGGTCTGAATTTATTTTTACCTGGTTTGGGAATAAAGAAAATGAGAAATTCCTTCCAAGATTTCGGGAATGAACCTGAGAAGTAGATTTCGTTAAAAGATTGGAGTAGTTCATGAATAACATTATCCGGTAAGTTGAATATAATCCGATAATCTATTTTATCGAGACCTGGAGCAGAGTTTAACCTCTTTGAGCATGATTTTACGGCAGATTTGATCTCAAGTAGTGAGAATGGTTTGTTGAATAATTGCGTTGTTTCTTCTGATGCAAGGAATGAGCTTGGAAAGTTCTGTGGTGTGCAGGAACTAGGACAAATAGTGTCAATCGTAAGATTTTGGGTTTCGATATTCTTCAAATTGTTTCCTGCTTGAGGAGCACCAAGTGATCGGTGGCGAAATTTTTTGATTGTTTGAAAATGGAGACTGTATACAGGAGGCGAGGCAGACCTATACCGCCCATGTTAAAGCGTTCGGCAAACTCAAGTCACAGTCCCAAAGTAATTAGCCGATTTTAGCGCTGCGTGCCGGTAGTTAGTGAACTACTAGAAGACGTACACCCAACGTGCATTGAATCGCGACCCCCCCAGTTAGGTTGGTATGAGACTATGAGTGCTACTTTCAGTCCGTAACGGTAGTTTTCAGATCGGCCATAGTATAGCGCTCGTTCTTAAATTATATAATTAAAACCTAAAATCAAATAATCATGCATCTAAATTCATTGTTCGGCAAACAATTAATTTTAAACCTAAAAACAAATTAGTAACGTTTTAGCTTTTTATCGTATCTTAAAACGAATTTTCATTTTTGAATATTCCCGCGGTTTCTTCGTTCCGATGAAACGACGGAATTCTCATACCAACCTAACTGGGGAGGTCGCGATTCAATCCACGTTGGGTGTACAATATAAGCGCAGCTTATCGCCCATGGAGACGTATACAGTCTCCATGTTATCGATCATGGTACTGTAGGTGACGAAGATAACCCGCACGCGAATATCTTTTTTTATAAAAAGGGATAAATTAGTCTTATAGAAAATGAATACTGTTTTACGATAAAAAAGTCTTGCTATTTTGTTCGTAAATGTACATTTTCAAAGTTGAGTGAATAATATTGAATTTCCTATCTTGAAAAAAAAATATATATATAAAATTAAATTGTTCGAAAAAGTTTTAGAAGTTTGTTTAAGTGAGATTGTTACACACACGCACACACACTTAGAATGATTTTCAAGGTCATTTGAAGGTCACAGTGATTTTTTGAATAGGAACCCCTATTTTTGATTCCGGATTTGGAAATAACGAGAAATTCTACGTTTGGATGAGGTATTATGTGTGGGGTTTGATTGATGATGATCCCGCATATATTTAATATAAACAATTAAATAATGAATATAAAAACTGAAATTAATATTTTGACTGTTTGCGTAGTTCTTTAGATTTTAATTTTTTTGCACCCATCATGGACAATATTGTGTCGCTTGCATGCCATTTTCATTCGTCTTTCTAAATAGTAAATTATGAATTTGTATGTTAATTTTATTACATGATCTGTACAACCAACAAACGCTAGAGAGTTCGTTTTTATTATTTTTTGAACAATGAACTGCATACTATCTCTAGTCATGCCATTATTACACTCAATTATAAAGGTCACACAATTTTCAACCATCTTAATTAATTCAGAAACATTGTCGCTAGATTTAATTAAGCCACCAAAACTATCTCTAGCATTTGTAAGTTGATGGCGTGCAGCATCACTGGAGAACGACTCCAAATGCAGATTGCAATTTTCGCACTTGTTGGACTTGATTATTTCACGGACGACCCAGCCAGATACGTCTGATATCAATCGATCGTCTGTATTGATCACGTTATAAATATGGTCCGATTCGCCATCCTTGTGAGCAGGTATCAACTCCCTATATTTGCTGATCCAATTTAAAATTGCATTCTGCAAAGATATTTTATTGTCCTGTTGCATTGCTTTTGACTTTTCGGTGTTAATTAAGACTTGAAGCACTTCGCCTTTTACAACGTTGCTGCCTTTTGGAGCCTTAATCAACCCATAAGTACAAAATATTTTAAATAAATGCGCGAACATGGTCGGATCTGGATTGTCATTGGAGCCAGCAGATATACGTAAGATTCCGAAAAGTCTCTGAAAACGAAAAATCACAATTCATTGCTATCATTATAAAATCAATTTATATTTTATGTAAAAAATTATTTTTTACCTCACTATTGGGTCAGAGCATAAGTGGTTTGTTAATAAATATTCATAACTATGCTCTTTATTTAAATATTCCAGTAATTCTACTGATGCTTTCAAAGTTACTAGAAGACCCGTAAAAGTATTTTGCGTTAATGGGAATTTAACGTTATTATCTGCTGCTCCTTTATGCCAAATCTGCAGGTAATCGATAAAAGTAACAATTGTCTGAAATAAAATTTGATTTATATATTATATCATATTATATTATAATAAATCATGAAGAAGTATAATAAAATATATTCATACAATTAATCATAATAGATAAATATAACAATTATATTTATATTACCTTTAACGTTGCACAATCGTCGCTCGCATACATAGTATCTTTTGCACTCCTAGACCGCATTGCATCAATGAGATTTTTCATCCTCCGTATAAAAATGATTGTTGGTTCGCAATCTTGCAATTTCCCTCCGGCTTTAGTATCATATTTGTATAATGTCATTGCTTGGTGCACCCTTTCAGAAAAAATCTGAACAAATTTATTTCATTAAAATCCATTTTCAATATGTAATATATACTATATTTTTTTTAGACTTACTTGAATGGCCATAAGCACATTCATCGTCATAAATCCTTTTGGATCCAAATGGTCTAGCGTCAAAAAATAAGCGTATTTAAGATTGTACTGCAAATGCGATTCGCATTTCAGTACAGCTTCCCAGTGCGCTTTTTTTACTACACCATCCGGAGTCTAAACAAGAAAAATTTTGTTATTACACATTACATAGTACTAGTTAATAAAATGAATTACCATTTGCAGCAAACATACTCACCCAAAATTCTAAAGCCCTCATTATTTGGTTGCGGATATTTTTCCAAAGGTGAGAAGGGTCGGAAATGAACCACAATTTCCTTGAGGAATTGCAAGGATGCAAACAACTAATATTATTTTCATTTATATTATTATTGGTCCAAACTTTTCTGTTTACATTTGCAGCATCCATTCCTACTACATCCACATACAATCCGACCTGCTCAATTCTTTTAATGCAGTCAATCAAAATGCAATCCAGTATATCACCTGTTGTCTTGCTTGCTGCTAAAGCTGCTATTGGCTGTAAAATATGTTAAAGTGTATGTAAAATTATTGTGAACTTTTAAATTAATTGTTATAATAAAAATGATTGAATTTATTACTTGTGCCCATCTTCCTCTAAATTGTATATACATCAAGCATAACGCATGGTCTGCTTGTACTTGTTGTAATTTTTCGGAAGTATAAGGGCCGTAATCTACGAATCCTTGCACTATCCAATTTTTATCGACGGCTACAGCCTCGCTTAGCGAAATTTCGTCAGCAATCAATATTCCTACAAAGGAAAATATATTTATAATTAGTACTTAATGTACTGATTTATAAGAAAATGATTAATTCTTTAACCACTTAACGTGCCTTTCACTATTTTCTAAATAGTCAACTTTGATTCTTAAGCTTTCAAAAACGACTTCTTGAAAACCATAATTGGAGCCGAGGGATCCAGTGTAAGAACGAAGCGTATATTCGCTAGGTAATGGAAGAATTCTTCTATCTCGTAGATACTCGTACAAAGCACTGCTCTTTATGTGCATTATGTAACTTTCGCAAATCCATTCTCGCGAATAACGGTACCTATTTTTTTTAATATCATCAAAATTTAAAAACATAGGAACTATTTCTTGCTGAATGTCCGGTAGATTTTCCAGCACTTGTTCACTATTACACTCATTATTTATTCGAGCTTCCAATTCAATGATTTTTAACTTCGCCTCCTCATAATGAAACAATTGGAACATTTTAGTCAATTACACAGGCCGACAAAATTTGACCAAACTCCAGAACCTGAGACCGGACCTAGTGTACCCGAAGTATTTTGTTGCGCTGAAAACGAATCCGAGCTCAGAATTTAGCCTATACGTCTGAGTTCCGAGATATTCTAACCTAAAAGTGCAAAAAATACCGTTTTTTGCTCATTTTGAGGTTACATAGCATCTTGAATAAATTTTTTTTTCCAAAACGAGGAAAAGCATCACAAAGGAGCACTCTTGTCCTTTGAAATCCATTTTTTAGATTCAAGATGGCTTTTTTTTTCATCGAGATATCATTGATTGAAGTTAAATATTTTCGCAGTTTTGTAACAACATTAAAACAGCCTATGTAGCATATGTGAGGCTATAAGCCCAATTTATAAGTGATCGTATTCGATCGAAAAAATCTATATATGGGTTTTTGAGGTTGCTGTTAAAGAATATAAGGACAGATTTTGAAAATTCAAAACGTGCGCCATATTGGATCCGCCATTTTGAATTTTCAAAATCTGTCCTTATATTCTTTAACAGCAACCTCAAAAACCCATATATAGATTTTTTCGATCGAATACGATCACTTATAAATTGGGCTTATAGCCTCACATATGCTACATAGGCTGTTTTAACGTTGTTACAAAACTCCGAATATATTTAACTTCAATCAATGATATCTCGACGAAAAAAAAAGCCATCTTGAATCTGAAAAATGGATTTCAAAGGACAAGAGTGCTCCTTTGTGATGCTTCTACTCGTTTTGGAAAAAAATTTTATTCAAGATGCTATGTAACCTCAAAAATAGCAAAAAACGGTGTTTTTTGCACTTTTAGGTTAGGATATCTCGCAACTCAGACGTATAGGCTAAATTCTGAGCTCGGATTCGTTTTCAGCGCACCAAAATACT